TATCAAAAATTATTAATAAAAAGAAATAAGTAATTTTTAAATTTTAAAACCAACAATATTTTTTATAATATATTATAACTCAAAAGATATTAAACATATTCTTGTTTATTTTAATTGTTTTTGGTTTTAATACTCATAAAAGTCTACTGTAAATAAATCAACAAGTCGTATGGGTCGTCCGGCACCTCGACAAAGTCTTTCATCAAGTAGTCGAGGCGAGGAAATGTGCGCGAGAATCCAGAGTGCCGTGGGCAGGTAATTAGTAGCGCAAACAGATGGAGTTACATTCACAACTTTAATCACTGTTCTTGTGCAGTAACTATGAGATTTTTAAAACCAAAATCTGCCGCGTGGAAATTTTCCTCGTAAATTTGCTTGAGCAAAAGTGTCTTTAAAGTATATTTTCTAAGCATTTAATTATGCAACTAGCTTTAATTTATTGATGGTTCGTGGCGCTCACCAGTTATTTATAGATTTTCAACGGTTATAATAATTACTACTACTTTTTAGTCGGCGACATTTTTTTTAGATTTAAACCTGTAGATTTTATAGTTGTTTTCAATGCTCACCCTAATATGTAAGATTAACTATTATCATCTATGGAACTACCATATTTCTATACTTATATGAAAGAAAGTATACTTTATAAAGTTTTTCTGCAATTTGTACGGAAAAAAGTTTTCTGGTGTTCCATTGACCTATTTAAATTTTTAAATATTTTAAATTGATACCACAGTGTATACTGTTAGGGATTAAAACAATAATAATTTTTATCCAGAAAATAGATATTTTTTATTTTACCATTTCAAAACTTGACAACAAATTTTAAGATAGAAATCTTAAAATCTACTAAAAATCAAAATACCTAATGCACACTAACGATTCTTTATAAAAAAGTCGTACATATAACTATTTTTCGTAACTGTAAACTCAAATAACTAGCATACCTAATATATGGTAATTTAAACAAAGAAAATGTTCGCATTAAAAGTTTATAGTTTTAGTTTAATTTAATAATCACAATAAAAAAAACATAAAATATATACTTTAATCCTTCCTGCAACAGTTTAATAATAAAATAAAACTTTATATGGTTACCAAAAACTATAGCGTGTTTATCTTAACGTCACTAATACGTTGTTTATATTATTTATTTCCCTCCTCGTAAAACCAAGCGCGTAACCAAAAATGCTCGACCCGATTTTCACACCAAATGCGCCCGAACAATTGGGGTGAGCGATATTGTACTTGACATGTTAATGCATGTATTGCTATGAGAAATTACGCTAACTCGAATGTCAAAACACAAAAGGGTGTAATTCTTGAGCCCGCATTTATGTTTGTGATACTTGATAATGCGTTTTATGGGCCTTCTTGACATTATGTAACTAGGCTTATCTTGAAGAGATTTATTGTACCTTTATTTTACAGTAGCTCGATTTCAGATAAAAAGCTGTTTTATATTTTAATATATCCGTTGCAATTTGATTAACCCACTTGATAAAAAATAGAACTGCATGCAGTTTGCAAAGAATTTGTATTTTTATTGTCAATTATATGCATCATTTAATCCATATGCATTACATTAGGTATTCAGAGTTTTCTCATTAATTTGAACTTTTAGTCATTTCAACAAAAAAAATATTTTTTCAAGCGTACAATAATTTTCGTATTATTAAACTTCGTACAGAAATGTAGCTAAAATGTCATCAAGTCAGTTGTACCTAAAGCTTGGCAAATATAGAAAAAATGCGATTGTGTACGCCCATCGATGATATTCTTTGATAATCTTTGGATGAAATTTATTAGTTTAGTTCGGGTAAAAATTTAAATCATCATTTCGATCACAAATTTCAACTTACAAATACTTAGTGGGGAGAAAAAGCATTTTAACAGTTTAGTGTGGAAGGAATAGCACTTTTATGTTTGATTGTTTTTTCTCCCCACTTTTTTACTTGAAATGCAGGATTAAACTGATTTATAGATTGCAAAAAGGGTTAACAATTTTTTCTACTTTTGGGTTAGAATTTCAAAAACCTGATGGGATGGAGTATTTCTGAAAGGTGTATTACAATTTCTAAAATATTTTACGATTAACTAATTACAACTTTTATAGAAATATTTTTTGTGGAAATGTTTTCAAGCATACTTAACTTAAGCGTTATATTTTTAGATATATTATGTATAATACCAAAACCAATTAAAATAATTAATTATGTGCAAATAATAAACCCGAAACAAATTAATTTTGAACATGCCACTTTCCTATAAAATATATTTAATATTTACATATTGATGTTTTATTTAGTATATTTCATGTAAATTGTAAGTAATAAAATTTTAATTATGTTTATTAAATTTATGAATAATTAAATACACAAATGTTTAATTACGTTTTGTTACATTTTGTTTAATTATCGTTCGACACATTGACAATAACTGTCAATTTTAATGAGCACTAAATTATGGATTGTTTATAATGTATTCGATTTGTTTTATTATTATATTAAAAAATATAAATTAAATTAATGTTTTACGTTAAGGTGAAATGATAATGTTTGGGCAATTATTTTAAAATAATGCAGGTTAACTTAATTTTATTAAATTTTTAATTTAAATTGGTTTTCATTTTTAATTTAAATAATTATAGTCCAAAAACGAAAAGTACAGCCTACCTACTTGAGTTCTCGGAGTTAAATTACTTTATCAGACCAAAATTTTGTATTTTTTGCATTTTTATTTTATGAAAGCGGTTTAAACATAATTTTTAACTTAAGAAGATTCGGGCAGTAGGTACATTGCGGGGAAAGGGGTAAAAAGAGTTGCAAAAAATAGGTACCAACTTTCAAAAACAAAATTACTTTGTCATTTTATTACATTGATTTAAAAAACAGACAATTTTCCAACTGATTTTATAATTATTTTTGTTGTTGACAGTTGGATTCTATGGTAACGCTTTTCGCTTTTGTCAGTTACAGTAACATTTCTATACGCTAAATAAGTATCGGGTTTTCGCAACGCGCGCGCCATCTGGTGGACTTCGAATGCATTGCGTGAATTTAAGAATTGTCAACAATAAATTTAAAGCAACGATTATACATCATTTTTAAATAAATAGGTAGTTTTTTTACAAAAAAGAGGAAGGCAGAAGTCTTACTCGACAAATTTTGTTCAATTGCACAACTAAATCGCGCACGTTATTTGTGTTTTACGTTGCAGGGAAAAAATTAAAAAACTTTTTTAGTACTCGATTTCGATTGATTATTCCTTATATCATTGATTAGGAATCTCAACGGTTAAATGCTTATATAGTTACGTTAGTTTGTGTATTTTATCAAAGGGATCATGGTGAATTATTGTGTTTTTAGTTGTAAATAAAATTCAAGAACTAAATCGTTTTCATGTTTTGCCAAAGGATCCAATTTGGTAAGTACATTTGTTGGTGCAGAATTAACTTATGACTTTACCTAATATAATTTATATTTAAGTTTGGACAGTTTTAAGAAATTAGTAAAAAATCCAAACATAACCTTAAAATCAATCATTTTTACATTTGAGTTCTTTAAAAAACGCTGATAACTGCATTTTAAACAACAAAATATACCTACGAATTCATGGCAATTTAATATTACTTATATACAATACATAATATAATGGTATTTTACCATTTATGGAGACTTTAAAGAATTCTTAATTAACGCTTTTAATAATGCTAAATACTGTTTAAATTTAGACGACTTATTTGTTAAAAAAATTATTTAAGGTAGAAAAATTGATAAATAACTTATAATAAATAACAATACTACAATTGTATGCTTTTTTTAATAATTTACTTTAAAAACAAAATGATGCTAGTCACCAAATAAATCAACCCAAATATCCCAGATAATCACGTGTTAGTAATCCAGTGTTGCCGGATCTTCCAGACAAAAATAACAGATTAAAAATTTTCGCTGGACACAGTCAACATTATCGTTTATTATTGCAAAACTGTACGTTAACAAAAATTTATTTGGCATACAGGCATAAGTTCTACTGGAAAAAATAATTAACTTTTAAATGTCACATTAGAAGATATGCATTAATTAAAGACATGGGTTGTATAGGAGGTGTATTTAATTAACGCATATCTTAATAAATGACAATAAGAAATCAATGATTTTTTGTTCTCGTATGCACTTATACCTGTAAAATTGGCATATGAATGTTTGTCAACATTCACAACAATAATAAACGATAACTTCCCGTGTAGTCTTAGCAACTTTAATTATTTTTTACTTGGAAAACAGACATTCCCAAACTTTGTAAATGTCTTTTAAGTAGACTATACTACAACCTAGTATTTTTACAATATTATCTAATAGCGACTAATATCGTGCCCGAACCTCCTTAATATGATTCATATATTTAAAACCTTGTCTGTTTTTCATTTCTATAAAGCTATTAAATGTTCAGTTTATTGCTGGATATCGTCGACACACTCAGACAAGTTGAACACGTAAATATGATCGAATTTGCATAAAACCGAGCATAAGTTTTCAAGTTAACTGCATTTCTGTAGGCCGGTGTCAATCGCAATAAGATTTCCTGTCTAAAGGTAAAAAGAAATAGTAGTTACCACGGACATTTATTGTAACGGTTCGATCTAGTAAATAATCCACGAACACTTGTAAATGTTATTACGCATTTTTATTATTGTACTTTAAATGTCAATGTGTTGTAAGTTGTACTTGTAAGTAACTGTTTCTTTGTTTACTTTATGAATTATCGTCCTGTTAGTATAAATGAGATTAATATTATTTTTTTAAATTAATTTAGAGTACGAAATTCCTTTTACCCTTTAAAACCCATTGAAAGGTTATTTCGTATAGTAGTAAGGAAATAGTTACTATGAAAAATTACCTGAAAGAATAAATAATACTTTTATACATAGTTAAAAAACTGAACTTTACAATATTTTTATTTTTAAGTTTTATTAAACTTTTTCCTTTCTTTTTCAGAATATTCGGTATGAAACGTTGCGGTCGTTGCCAGGCAACCATCCTTTCCTCTGAGCTGGTGATGCGCGCCCGCGAGCTAGTCTTCCACGTGCACTGCTTTTCCTGCGCAGTTTGCAATTCGCCCTTAACCAAGGGCGACCACTTTGGCATGAGGGATGGGGCTGTTCTATGCAGGTAATTATAACATATGGATTATATTCAGCACCTAGTAATTATAAGGGTTTAATACAATTGATTGATGTCTTGATAATCAGATCAATAACCCATGGTGGCTATGTATTTTTTTAGAGTTTCAAAGACTTATTGCAAATTGTACGTTGGGTATATTTTTTATCACATATTACTATATTTGTTTTTGACTGTGTCTTGGTTCACTTATATTTTCATTTTCACTACAAATATAAAGTACACTATGATAGTTCGAGTTACTAACATTGAGTACGCCCTTCTATATTACCTAATTTTGGGCTGCTGACTTGTTTTGCTCCAGGACATCTAGGATTGGAAATAATTGCGTAATAAAATGCTCTGCCCAATTATCTCAAAATGTAAGTTTTTCGTTAATATTTTGATTATTTAAATTATCTTATATTTGGATGTTCAGTATATTTTTGACGTTTTTTGTCAAAAATATACAGGGACTCCATACAAAGTCATCGGTAGATAAATGTCAAATAATTTTTTTTTGTTTCATTGTAGCCGTAGGTATACTATAATAGTAGTATTAAATACCAAAACTAAAATTATAATGTTTTTTTTTGGTTAAAAAGTATCATTTTTTTTAAATTTTTGTGTCGTTTTTTTAATTACCTACTAATTAAATTAAAAAGGCAACAAAGTAAATGGGTTTCGGTATAAACATTACTCTTCGACTATTATTTGATATTTTTTATTCACATTATGCCTAAAGTACCCAAAAATTCAATCTCCAATCTTATTTATTAAGTCTTACCAAAATTTAATATCGAAGTATCGAAGTATAAAGGCGCCTTTATCTACTTTATCGTTCAAGCACATTAAAGTGCATCTAATAATAATTGACATTTAAAATTTAAACTTTAAATTGTATTTTTACTTGAAAGTGATTTTAAGAACCAAAATGAAAAAAGAGCAGGAAATGGAAGTGGTAATGGAAGTGGCAGAGAAAGAGAAAGGAGACGAACCTAAATCGTCGTCGTAAATTTGTTTTGTTTTTGTTGAGGTACCTATACGACCAAGAAAAACCAACGCAATATTTCATTACAAAATTTTATGAGATATATTTACTACTTTAGTTTTGCAGGAATGTTAAATGGACCTTATATACGACGTTTAATGATCAAGCATTCAAAAATGCTCTCAAAGTTGACAAGCTTGTCGCATATGGCAGTGTTAAAGCTGTCATTGAAAATGTTCTTTGTTCATATCGGGCCTAAAATTGGCGCCAATTCATTGAAAAAATGCTCTCCGTTTTGTAAAGAATTTCCCTTAATATGTCATTTAAAATACATTTTCTTTTTTTTCATCCTGATAAATTTGCCGAACTGATGAACATGGAGAACGATTTTACCAAGTAACAGCAAATCTAGAGCATTGATAGATATCTATGGGTATAGCGGAAAAAGTTGTATTCATTGCTGGAAGACATTTGCTGGAATTTGCAGCAAAAGATGTACGACAATAATTCAATTCGATATTTAAGACGATTTAATTAATTTATGGTAGAAAAAATCAAAATTATGCAATGCATTAAATTTTGTGGGCTTAATTTGGATAAAAAATACCAAAACTTGTTTACTTTGTTGCCCTTTCAATTCAATAATTAAAATAAACGACAAAAAATGCCAAATAATGGTTGTTTTTTTTACATAATAAATAAATTAAAATTTTAGTTTTAGCATTTAAAATTTCATATTGTTTAGATAAATATGATCTATTTGTCGTATACCAATTACTTTATTTTACCAATAATTAAAATACTAATAAAAAACTTAAATTTTGAGGTGATTGAGCAGAGCATTCTATTACTAAATTATTTTAAATCCTAGATGTCCTAGAGAAAAACAAATGACATTTTTGAAATCAGTGGCCCAAAATTAGTTCAACTAAGCTGGAGCACTCAATGTTAGAAAAAAAAAAGTTTCTAAAACTATCATAATAATTATAATTATTATCAATAATGTATTTGCTTAACATATAGTCTTCTTGTATTTAAATTTTCATACCTTTTCATAACCTAACATTAACTAATGTTATGTATACATAACATAATAAATAATATATTTATTTGTAATTGTTTATAAAATGTTACTTACATCATAAAACTCTTTATTAACTTATGAAATAAAATCAATTTGATATTTTCCTGTTTAGATTGCATTTCGAAATGCCAATGGCGGAACCGATTCCCTCGGGGATGTTCACCCCCGGCATGCATCACTATCCGCCCCCGTTTCCCAGTCCGGATTTCCACCACCACGCGGCGGTGCCTCCTCCCACCCCCGGCGACGGTGTGGGGAAAGTGCCCTTCTTTAACGGAGCTCCGACAACGCCCAGACAAAAGGGCCGGCCGCGGAAAAGGAAACCAAAGGACCTTGAGGGAATGACAGCGAATTTAGGTAAGATATTTTTCCTTTTGTGCAATATTTTACATTTAATATTATATATACATTGGGGTCGCCGTTATTTCGGCGATGTCGATATTTTTTTCATCGCGCCGGTCTAAAAATCAATTAAGGTATTAAAAATAAAATGTCAGTAAAATTTGAAAGCAATTCGTCCTAATTAATACGTCCCACAGCTCAATTAAAATTTCAAATGGAAAATACATTTGTTTTTTTACATGTTTTATGTACATTGCCATAACTTTTTTGGAAACTTGGTAGAGTTTTACTACATATAGAAAGGTCCATATTTTTGTCAGAATTTTTTGACAAATATATCTCTTTAGTGCCCAAAATTAAATAATACGCGTTTTTACTCTTTTATCATGTCACTTAAAAAAATTATTGAAAATCGGCAGGAATATTTTTTTTGAAAGCAATATTATATAATTATTTTCTTATTCAATAAGATTACATACAAGACTTGGTATACTTAATATTATCAGTAATTAGAATCGTCAAATTACGGGTCACATAGAGAATGTGACCGTCACAAATACAATTTAGTGTATTTTAAATATTAGCTCAATTTAAGAGCTTTTTAATGATATTATATATTTGTGGTTTTGTTATTGTTGTGGTAAACTTTTTTTTTAATTAAATGTTAACTTTAAGTTATTAATTTATTTTGTTTTCTTATTTTACTGTTTTTTAACATATTTTATGATAAAATTATAACTGTAAAATAATGTTCTTAAAAATTTCTAAAAATTGTCGAAAATTTAATAATTTTTTAACCCTGCTTTTACTTTTTGAATATTTTATGATTAAATTATAATAATTTATATTTTCAATGAAATTATAAAACAATTAAACACGTATTATATAAGTGCCCAAAAGGTTGAGATTTAATTGTCGAAAAATTTAAAAAAAATAGGTAGTAAAACTACCAAGTTTCAAACACGAGCATTTCCAAAGAAGTTATTATTTTTTAAAATTTGTAATTTATTTCAACCTATTTTTTTGCACTTTCTTGTATAAATAATTTAAAATATTCCTATATGTTTATAATTTTTCCATCTGTTATAAAATTATTTATTTACAATTGATAACTCATTACAATAATAATTATTATAATAAAAGTTTTATTTACAATGGTAAATCCGTAATGTAAATTTAAGATAGAAATTGAACTTTTCATAATGATAAACCATTATTAAAAAGTAAATATAAAAATATATAAATAATAAACGACACATTTTTAAATTTAATTAATATAACAGTATGTGCGATTTAAGACCCCATAATTTTGGAACGCGTTGACCGATTTTAATTTTTTTGGGACATGATAGGTACTCGAAAATTTAAAATTTTCATTTTTTCAATACCTTCTAAATGGGTCAAAATTTAGAGATCAACCATTAGGTTTTTTTTTTGAAAAAATCTTTATTCTAAGTTTGAGCTTAATACAGTATAAAAGTATAGTCATGACTTGTTGATTGTTTCGACCTTTACTTGATGAAACTCAATATTATTAATATATGAATAAAAATAACACTGTTTTAAAGTTTCACTATTTTATTTATGTTTTTAATGATTAACAATTGTTTCGCTACACAGTAGCTTCTTCAGAATAAGTACATATTTTTTTATTAAGTGGCGGTATTTATATTAACAAATGGTAGGTAATTTGAGAAAATAAGTGTTGTATAAACATTATACCTGAAGGTATTAATAAAACTTACACAATTTTGGAAAAACTAAGGATTTGGAAAGTCCAATCTAATATAATTTTATAATATTAATAAATATTATTTTTTAGCAAAGTTTCAATTTGGTCATTAAGAACAATATATTGATATATCAGATTTTTTCTTTAGTTTATTAATTTCCTAAGACTCCAGAAGATTTAGATTGGTACCCTTATTGGCTACATGTAATATTTTAAAGTTATTATCAAATTTGTGGTTCTCTTGTATTAGATGGTTAGCATATGAAGAATCCTGTTTAAGGGTTATATAGGATTTCTTGTGTTCTTTAATTCGTGTATTAAAATTTCTACCCGTTTGGCCTATATATGTTTTCTGACAGTCTCTGCAGATTAGTTGATAAACGCCGGATTTTGAAGATTTTGATATTTTATCTTTGTTGTTTTTGATAAACTTACTAAGGTTGTTGTTAGTTTTAAATACAACATTACTATTGATTTTATTAAAGAAATTAGATACATGTCTCATTTAGTACCTAGATATATGTTTTAATGGTAATCTTAGATGTTGGAAAACCGTTGTTGATAGCTATTTTTTGTTTTTTGTTATTTAAGATTTTGTTAATTCATCCATTCATCATAGCCGTTTTTTTATTCATATATTTATTATAATACTATAATTGTCATGACGTTTTTTTTAGAATAAACGTTTTTTTTAATTTTGGGGGGTTTCCAAAACCCGCCCTTTAGAGATATGGCTCTAAGTCGAATAAATACTTTTTTGCATACACAACACAGAATCAGACAAAAAAATTTAATGACAAACACCTTATAATAATATTATAAGGTATTGAGTTCAAATCTATGTAAAGATATTTAAGGCGCGTCTGAATTGAATGTGCTATTAATTTTTTCGGAAAACAAATTGTCTAATGGTCCATCTTTAAATTTCGACCCATTTAGAATATTTTAAACTTTCCCATATGGTCAAATAGAGCTTATTTAGTACTATTTTGCAAAAAAAAAAATATTTAAATCGGTCAAGGCATTCCAAAATAATGTGGTCCTGCGGTCTTAAATGACACACACTATAATAAATACATATACAGTGTAAATTTACTTTATATAACCTTATTTAAGGTCACCTATTTTGGCATTAGTACCAAAGTACCAAAAGTAATTGGAGGAAAAATATATATTTTATATTTATAATAATAAACGGTGAGTATATAAATGTATATATGTAAAGGGTGTATCAATAAGAGCGCAAGATTTGAATTTCGCCTCAGTTTGGCAACCATGATGTCACATGATTAATGACATGACAGATTGATAGGAGACAGATGGAAGTTAGTAAATATAGAGCATTACACGATAGAACAACCCGTTCTGATTGTTAAACACTATTATCAAAATGATGAAAGTTTGATTGCCACGATTCGTAAAGGGCGTCCAATATTTTTTCGAAATAATGTTCCTAATTCATCTACTGTGAAAAGAATAATCGAAAAATTTGAAAGCACTGCTTCGGTTAGTGATGTAAAATACACGACACGAGCTCGTTCAGAACAAAATGTCGCAGCAGTTCGCAAGAGTGTGGCCGAGAGTCCAGAGACGTCGATTTGCCATCGTGCACAAGAATTGGACATTACAAAAGCCACTCTTCGGCGAATTCTTACTTAAGATTTGCATCTTCATGCCTACAAAGTCCAATTGACTCAACAACTCCAGCCAAAATACCATGAACAGCGAAGAGAGTTCACCAATTGGATCCTTGAGCAGCAAGAAGTGAATGCCGATTTTGCGGACAAAATCATTTTCAGTGATGAGGCCCATTTTCACCACTATTTAACACCCTTGGACTTTTGGCTGTGGGGTTATTTGAAGTGACAAGTTTATGCCAACAAGCCCGCCACCATCGAAGCCTTAAAAGCAGAAATTAGACGCTCTATCAACGAAATACCGCCACATGTATTCAATAATGTTATTGCAAATTTAGCCAAAAGAATACGCTTGTGCCAGTTAAGCCGTGGTGGCCATTTACCAGATGTGTTATTTTATACATAATTTCTAAATGTGTACTTTATAAATCAATAAATATTTCAATGCTTTAATACTTAAAACCATGTTTTACTAAACTTTGAAATCTTGCGCTCTTATTGATACACCCTTTATATACATATATATTTATCAAAATATATATTTTTCTTCCAATTACTTTTGGTACTTTTTGTACTTTGGTACTAATGCCAAAATAAAATTAATTGGTCTGTTTAATAATAGGCGACCTTAAATAAGGTTATATAAATCATTGTAAAACAATGAATAGTAAAATGATTGGTTTGGTTTTAAGATATCGACTAATAAACAAAGCAGTAATGGCCTGCAGTAGTAGTTAAGCGTACCCGATCCTGATAAATCAGCTCGTCTAATAATATACTCTTTATTTAATGTGATGGCTATTTACGCCTCATATCAGCGCAGGGTCATTAATCTTCGTACATTTTCAAAATGTGTTCTACCTGTGGGTATTTACATTCCGCGTACAAATATGATTTATTGATTAATAATTTCATGAATGTTACAATCGGTGTGTTCGTTGCATCGTAATTTATGGTTACATTTTCGCTGATTATTCTCACGATACACGAGAAAAATTACCAATCATTACCGATAGACCAGCCGCGGCAGCCAGTCAGCACATACAACACCATTAACCATATTAATTAAAATAATGTGCGGTGGATTGTTGTTTTTAATGAACGTGTCGGGTTGCTGGATATGAATTTGCTGCTGTTGCCCTGTCATGCACATTTCTGGCAATACCCACCGCTACGTTTTAATCAAAATTGTATTCACTAAATTTTATTTAAAACCTGAAAATCGTACAAACAATATAAAAGGTGTCTCAATAGGAACGCCGGATTTAAATTTCGCCATGTTCCTAGTTTTCGCCTTAAAAATATTTCTGTATGTATCCCTTGAAAATGGACTAACAACAGGTTTTCAAAGTGAAAGTGAAGTAATTGTTTTATGGGCACTCAACGGTGGAGTCTCCGCCCCAAATTAAGTTAAATCTAGTTTACTGCCGGCGAAATTAAAAGGTCAATACAATTTTCATGTAAACTTTTCAAATATTGGCGTTGAAAAACTCTTTAATACTTTTGTATTGATATAATAAAACAATTTTGACATTTAGTATTATTTTACAAGAAGGGTATTTTATTTTAACGTTTGTATGACATTTGAAAACTAACTTAAAAATATCTTCAGCCCGTGACTAAAAACCTGTTGCTTACTTCAGCCC